GTGAAATCTTCCCAACAACAGTCAAGGCAGTGGGGAGCCTACTCATTTGCTCAGGATGCACAGTGATGGGTATACTATTAGTCTTAGAAGTGAGCAGATCACATTGAAAGAAAGCTGATAGAGCTTCTCCATGGAGATGGAATCAGCATCTATAAAAAGGAAGAAAAGGAATGAAAGCCTGAGAAACTTTCTCTTTCTACGGAAGAGTAAGAAATACATATCTAGGAAGAATATTCCTCCATCGGTAGAGGCCTAAAACCTAGTACTTCAGCGCCCCAAGGGCAGGTGGGGAAGCTAAAGGGAGGGGTGGACACCACTGTCAGTTCTGGCCCCACTGGGTTCTCCCCAGGTGACCTTCTTTTTCAAAAGTATGTTTTCTCCTTAATGTAAAGGCAGGATCCCTTCTGAAAAAATAAAACAGTTAATTTGAGAAGGGATTAGGAGTGATGGTAGGAAATGGAGAAAGAGGTAAATGACAGTCTTGTTAGATTGCTCTGTGTTTTAAAAAGAAAGTGCAAATAGCTTTATTATTACTAAAAGGTGATTAACAATAATGGAAACTATTAATAATAATGGAGTGACAACTGTGTCCTCACAAATAGATTAAAAAATCAACCCAATCCATCTCTGCCCTTTTGAGTTTTAGCAAAGGTGTGGCATGCCTTCTCCAGATTGAGAGGCAGTCATTAGATTCTAAAGATAAATCCTGGAACTTCTATTGGTCAGAAAGGTGAGATCTTAACAACAGGATTTCACAGTGGGAAGACAAATGAAGGGGCAGGAAAGAATCTTCCTGAATCTAAGAACTCTAGGAAGGAACGTGAAAAGGGTTTTCTGAAAGCAAGGTTCTCCTTATCTGTGATGGACCTGCTGTTTAGTTAGTCTTTTATTTTTTTTTGGCTGCACCATGTGGCTTACAGGATCCTAGTTCCCTGACCAGGGATTGAACACAGGCCACGGCAGTGAAAGCACCGAGTCCTAACCACTGGACCGCCAGGGAATTCCTAGTTAAGTCTTAAAAAAGAGAGAAAGAAAAAGAAGTATCCTTTAGCTGCAATTTTGTTGATTAAACACAATTCCCCCAAAGCCACTTGCCCAAAGAGATCTATGTTACAGCAACCTGTCAGGTTTTGAAAGATAATCACGGATTATTCAGATTACTTTCTGGTCACCTGAGTGACCAGAATGTTGTAGGTACTGGGCCTTAAAAAACGTGTACATCTTTTTGGAGCATTTTGCACTAATGTATATGTCTTTTACCCCAAGTTTGTAGGTTTCACCTGCATCCTGGGCCACAGCAATAACATTGGCATAGGTAAGAGAAAGTCTCAAACATTAGAGAATGAGACCTGGACCAGGCACACAATGTCACTGATCACTTATTTTTATGTGTGACTACGTTACCACATTATATAAGAAAACATGAAGAGGTTTAGTGTTGTCATCAAGTAAAACTCACAACAAAGTTTAACGATAGTCAGAATCCTTATCTTCTTTCAAAGTAACTAACAGTGAATGGCAAATAACTCACTATCTAATCAATATCTAATTGATACTGTTTTTCAGAAACAGTTTTTCTAAGTTGGGGAATTCAAAAGAAGATGACTTAGTGGCACAGGAAACAGCTTTGTAGTTCCTCGGGAAATATAATTTAAACATTTGGAAAAGAGTGTCTCTAGAGGTGGGACTAAGAGAGATGTGTGAGACACAAAAGGAAGGGTAGTCAGAGAAGAGGGGAAGTGGGTCACAGGTGCTGGGGGGTGAGGGCGGAAGCTGCATTAGCAAGGTGAAATGCTGTGGGGAAGTCTGCATGCAGCGGGACGGCTGGTAAACTTCACAGTGAGGTCACCAACTGTGAACGAGAAGGCGGCATCTCAGTGGAGTAGTGCCGTGAGACCCGATAGATTTGTTGAACAAGTAGTCTTTGAGTGTCTACAGTGCTGGCGCTGGTCTAGATGGTGGGGACCCGGCAGTGAATGTAGTGAATGACCAATTGCAAGGGTTAAGGAGTTAGTAGCCTGTAAGAAGGTGTGCCGCTAATGCTAGGAGGAAAAAAGTAGAGGTGGAAGGATAAATAGGGGCAGTGGGGGATTTCATTTAGGGGAGAACTGAGCCCATTCATAGCCAGCAGGGGAAACACAAGACTCAAGAATAGGGACATGAGGGAGACAGGAGGCTGAAGGCTCGAGATCTTTGGAAAGGAGTAGTCTTATCTGGAAAGAGAAGCAAAGGAAGAGAGAAAGAGGTGCTGTCTGGAATGACTCTAAAGTGGGGAGATGGCGTGTGAAGGCAAGCCAGTCTGTCAGATGCAGTCCTTTCTGCTGGCTCCTGCATCTATGAATGGGGGATTAAGTCTTACCCCCAGAGAGTGGTCGTGGGATTCGAACAAGACAGTACTGTTAAGGCCCTTAGCAGAGTGCCTAGTATACGCGCAGAGCCCTTACTATACTTGAAGAAAAGACTGATAGGGAGGAAGGAGAGCGCAGGTGGGCTCAGGGGCCTGAAGTGAGTGAGGTTTGCAGGTCCAGGTGGGGGGAGGAGGGACAATGGTTAATGAATGAATTCTTCACTCTAGCAAGAAACTGGGGGTGGAGGGTGATGCAGAGGGGGTAAAGGAGGAGGCATTCTAAGGTCACTAACTCTGCCTTGTCAGTACCTTCCCTGGCAGCACTCAGGCAGTGGGCCAAAAGGTGTAATTAAGCGTGTCTTGCTGCCCCCAAATTTCTCCCTAGAGATTGTCTGAAATTATAAGGGCTTAAAATGAATTAATAAATAAATATCCCTGAAGAAGGGGTATGGAGAAGACTATCAGTATTTAATACTTCAGACTGACTTAGCCAGCGTATTAGGTTTAACAAAAGCAGAGCTGTCACTCAACAGTGAGGGCAGGGCTGCTGCTCCCAGGGAGCCGGACAGACGGCAGGGCACAGGAGAGGGAACACAGGCCTGGAAGGCAGCTGGGAAGATGAAAGGGAGGTAGGAAATGTTCCAAAGAAAGCAGAAAGGCGGGTGTTGAAACAAAGAGTCCAGGATTATAAGCCACACAAAGGAGAGCTGGGAATTCTTTAGGTCACCTGTGAGGCAGCTTGGCAAGAAGTCTGCCATTAAGTTTTATGCTTTCCTTCATAGCTTCTCTTTGTGTTTCACCTTCCCTTGTTCCCTGAATTTCACATAGCATCTTTGTTATCTAGAGAGTCAGAAATGGCAAACTTTTAGAAAACAAAACAAAGCTGGAGAGGACCTCATATATTCTCTTGTTTAACCTTATTTTACAAATGTGGAAACTGAGGCTCAGAGGGAAGTGACTTGTTCAAGGTCACACAGCGAACCAGGTGCTAAACCGGAACTAGAGGAGCCCTAGAATCCTGCCTTGTGTTCCACAGTACCCGACCATCTGCTTAATAAAACCTACAGCTTGCTGAAGTTCCTGCTCATCCAGAGAACACAAAGCATGACTCCTCCTTTGTGGAAGTTAATGATTAAAACCTAGTCTGATCTAAAGCAACTAACCATAGTTACTAATTAAGCCAATTTCTGTGAGAAAAGACATTTCACACAGAAGAGTGGAGTGTTCTCTTCAGCTAAATCTATAGGCCTTCAAATTGTAGTAGCATAAACTGTACAATTACAACATTTCAAGTACACTTAAAAATATTTCAAAATACAATACCTTAACCTCTGTAGCTTACATTTTCTTTTCATTGCATGCCACATGATGGGTCCTGATAAAACGGTTTTGTAACTTTTGAAGAAGGAATTTAACTAAAGTGACTTCACTTAGTGTTTGAGTGAACTAGGTAATAAAATCTGTTTGCTGTGTTCGCTGTCTCCAGATAGGGCTGTAATTACACCACATAAGGAAGAAAGGTAGCTGAGTCTCAATCTAGATCATTTATGTAAACTCAGCCTTCTTGTCAACGGTGTTCTCATATTGCATGCATGCAAACCTCAAAAATCATCTCCTATGAACCACAGAGAGACAGTGTCCAATTGCAGACCTGTGAGATTGCTTATATTCTTTCTGTAATTGGATGTCTGTGGTTCAAGACCAAAATTTGACACTCTGAGGCTAAAAAAAAAAAAAATCACCAATGAATTCCCCAGTACAACAATTATATATCTGACACTTGTAAAAATTAAAGGTATTCTCTACACCAACGTATTACAAATGAATACATTTACTTGAAAAAAAGAAGCAACCTGTTCAGCTTAAAAAAAAAAAAGTTTGGTTCTTTGAAATGCATTTGAAAACATTTGGTCTTCCAGAAAGAAAAACAGGCAATTCCTACTATAACCAAGTTAACATCTGATAAGATTTTAATCTCCTACTTCAAATATTTGGCATTATTTTTTCAGCAGTTTCCCCCGCAAAATCTTACAGAACCCAAGAAGCACAAAGTATATCCATACTGCATCTATAAAATACAAAGACATAATTGCAAGAAGACAAAGCATGTTTTTTTTCCTTAATCATTAAACTACCCTCCGTTATGAAAAACTGGTCACTGGTTTTTGATTTGACAGTCCTCCCTGGCTGGCATTGATAGTGTTTCTCTTGACACCTGCAGCCTCCAGCTTGCCCTGTCCTCTCTAGAAGGAAAACCACAGGCCACCGCCCTGGCGCCATCCCTGGCTCAGTCCAATCAATAAGGACTTATTTCCTGTCCATTTGCTGAGGTCACAGGAGCGAATCTCATTAATTATTTCTGCTACTGAAGCCTCAAGTGTGCTTGTGGCGTGACAACTGAAAACTGCTTGACCTTTTTTCTTCTAATTTTGTTTGTAGCAGTTCCAAAAAGAAGACAGTATTCATTTAGCAGTGTGGTAAAAAGAAAAAAAATGTATATGTTGTTAAAGTCATTAACACATTTAAAGTATGTTTAAAAAAAAGAAAAAATAAAGTCATTAACACATTTAGATCTTTTATCATGAAAGCTCTCCCGATCACCTCATTCCCCAGTTTTTTTCAGCTAACGAACAATAGTCTTTTTAATTTGGTGTCACGAAAATCTGGTCACAGCAAACACAATGTTTTCTAAAGCAGTTCTGGCCTCCGAGGGAGGAAAGCTCTCCAGGGCCTCCAGTGCCTTGTTTCCATGGTAACGACACAGGTCAATAGCTGAAGTCACACCTTTGCCAGCGTTGATTGTTTCTCGCAACTGTTAAGAAACAAATGCACAGTAAAAGTCAGTTTTTAAGGTACCACAATTAAATTGGGGAGGAGAGGTGGAAAACAAAGAAGGGGAGAAACAGTATAGATTCACTGTTTCTGCTTTTGAGGTTAAAGAGGACACCATCCTCCGGTGATTTTGAGGCACTAACATTCCCTAAGGCTGCTAGGTTTCAGCCCTCCAGAGCAGAACAATAGGCTCCAATTAGCCTAATTACACCTCTTCCCCAACTCCCGCCCTGTGGTATCTTGAAGTGGGCCCTGCTGGAGGGTGGTGGTGACAAAGGCAGAGGGCATTTACATCTCTGACATTTTGAATTCAGCAGCCTGATATTCTTAGGCGAGGAAGCCTTCATTAACATCCTAGTTAATAACTAATATTTTTACACTGTATGTTGGCACAATAGTCCATGTGAAAATTCAAGAAAGACACATAGTATTAGATCTGAGCACTACATTATTAAAACTGTAAGACTTTGGGAGGAATGAATTAAAATACCCTTTGTGAAGAATAAAGTCAACTCTTGCCCACAAATGGAGTTGATTTCCAATCCCTCTCCCTGATGACTGGAAAGGACCAATATGATGGTTACCCTTCAGAGCTGAAAAAGACTTATAATGATTTGGCCGGTCCACTTCCCCTTGCCCCGATTCCATCCTCTTCTCAGTGAATACCTCTAATGTCTGCTTTACTCCCTAAATCAGAAACTCGGGAGTTCTCCTTCATCCAATTCAGGCACCATGGCTCACCCATGACTGAACTTTCTGGCTCCCGGCGCCCAGTGACAAGTTCTAGTCCATGAGACATGAATGGTGCGTGTCACTTCTGGGCTGTAGCATTTAACGGTCCATGTGAGTCCCGCCAGAGGTTTCCCTCTGGTACATCAACCAGTCACATCGAAGAAGCTCCTCAGGTTGGATCCCCGAGTGGCCACGGTGAGCAATCACGGTGCCTCTCCAACCTGCACAGGACATGTAGTATGGGCAAGAGACACATCTGTTGTCTGAAGAGACCTGTCAGGTTGTCTGTGGCCATCTTGACTGATATACTCACTAAGTCCCAGCCATTCTATCTCATACAAAGCCCTCAAATTATCATCTGCTCTTCACTCTCATTGCCACATCAGTTCAGGCTATCATCATCGCTTGCCTGGGTTATTTTTGCAATCACCTCCTAAAGAGTCTTCCCACCACCAGTTCTTTGCCCCTGGACTCCATCCTTTACGCTGCCAAGATCTTTATAAAAAGCAAACGTTATCTTGCTTAAAACCCTCCACTGCCTTCCAATAGCTTTAAGGAAAAAAAAGTCCAAGCTCTTTCATGAGGCGTGGAAGTCCTTTCCCTTTCCGCCGTTTCATCATTACTTAGGGAAACTACTTGCAGCTGATGGCTTGAGACAGTCTCCACACACCCCCCTCGCCCCATCAAGCTCCCCAAATTCCACTTGGGTGGAATGTACACAGCTAGGATGACAGCCCTAAGGGGCTAGGTGCCCTTCCTTGGGGCTCCTGGAGTGCCCTGTGCATATGTGGAGTACAGCATTATTATATAGTGTAGTTTAATTCTCCATTCACTTATCTATCTCTTCATTAGACTTGGAGCTATCGTATAATGCATGAAACATAAAGGAATAAAAGAAATAACCTGCTTTACTCCCCTAATTATATAGATGAGAGGAGAGGGCCAGAGAAGCTCAGCGGCTCACACGAGATCATAGATGGATAGTGACAAAGCTGCAATCAGAAGCCAGTTTTCCTAACACCCAGTCCAGTGGCACTTAATATTATACTCCGCCAGACTCTCAACATTCTACAGGTATTTCCACACTGCATATGAACTTTGGTATTGTTTCAGCCTAGAGTTCCCTGGTTTCCTGCCATCACTGAATACATGAAGGCACTAAAATGGTCCTGGGTATCAGAGGTAGCCAGATTCAAACTCCTCTTCTAGCTCCCATCTTAGAGAGGCCAGTTAACTGCTCTGAGTTTAAAGGGGGATAAAATCAGTCCCTTGTAGAACTGCTGGGGGGGGGGGGTACTGCATGAGACACTATAGAGTGCTTGACAGTGTCTAAAACACTATAGATATTCAGAACAACTTAATTCTTCTTCCTCCTCAAGCCCTTAGCCATTGCCAAGAAAGCTACCCCATCCAAAACAGATCAAGTCTATTTTAGCTTGACGCACAGCAACCTCAAAGGTAGTTGAACTTGGATCAGACCAGCCTTAAAGATTAAAAAAAAAGAAAAAGAAAGAACATGCTTCTTATTTTCATTATCTTTAATTCCCTCAAATCTAAATTAGACTGGCCAACATTCTCTATTCTGGACTTCTAGGTTGGTAACTGCAGGCAAGTGGATATCTGCATGACTGGATTTCAATTTGTAAATATTAATTGAGCACCTATTATGTGTAAAGAGTACAATGATCCTTTTTTGCTTTATGGGTCAGGAACTAACGAAGGGTATACTGCGAAAAGCAGCAAGTGAAGGACTACAGATGACCAGAGAAATGAGAGCAAGTCTGATTAGAAGAGATTTAAGAGGGCCTTACAGAAAAGGGATTTTAAGGCATGTCCTGAGAATGTTAAGTAGTCATGGCATCGGGGTAGCAAGAAAATTATAGGGAAA